TATATATCTCCAAAAAACTCACTGTCGTTGAGTCGATCCCAACTCATGGTGACCTATTAAGACAAAGTAGAAGTGCCCAAGGAGCAGCTATTGGATTCAAACTGCCAACCTTTTGGTTATCAGCCGAATTCTTAACCACTGTGCCACCAGGGCTCCATATATATATATATATATATATATGAACAAAATCTCAATGACCTGTGGGATAAGATTATCAAGTTATCTAATATGTGTAACTGCAGTCTCAGGAAAGGAGAGAGAGAGAGAGAGGCAGAAGACATAATGGCTAAAAAATTTCCAGATTTGATACAAACTGTAATACATTTACAGATCCTATAAGCTCAAAAAAATCCCAGGAAAAATACAAAGAAAATCACACCAAGATACATCAGAATCAAACTGCTGCAAATCTTAAAAGCAACCAGAGGAAAAAGACATTACATACAAAGGAATGAAGATAAAGGACTTCAAATTTCTTGTCAAAAACCAAGCCAGAAGAAAATAGAATGACATCATTAAAGTGTTGAAAGAAGCTGTCAACCTAGAATTTTTTAGCCAGCAAACATATCTTTCAAACATGAAGACAAAATAAAGACTTTTCAGATAACCAAGAGCTGAGAGAATCTGTTGCTAGCATACCTGAATATACAAAACGTTAATGGAAATTCTTTAAGCGGAAGGAAAATAGCATCAATGGACACTTGGATCTACACAAAGAAATGGAACGCATCAGAAATAGTAGATACAGGGGTTGAAATAAACTTTTTTTTTTCCATTTTAAAATTTCTTTGAAAGGTAGTTGATTGAAAAATAAAACAAGGCGATTATTGTTAAAAGCAAAAATAATAACAAGTATTGTGGGGACTATAACATATGTAGAAGTAAAAACTATGACAACAGCAGCACTATGAATGAGAGGGAAGAAATGGAAGTATATTGTTACAAGTTTCCTAATTATATATGAAGTAGTATAATATTTGAAAATAAACTCTAAAAAATTAAAGATAAAAATTGTAAACCCTAGATTGACTCCTCAAAAAATAAAGAGTGCTATAACTAATAACAGTGGAGATGAAATGAGATCCTAAAAGTATAATCAACCCAAAACAAAGCAGGAAAACTACTGGGAAAAAACAAAGAACAAAAGATAAAAGTAGAAAATAAAAAGTGAGATGGTAGATTTAAACTCAACAATATAGACAATTACACTAAATGTAAATGGTTTAAACACTCCAACAAAGACAGAGATGGAAGGTTCCTGGGTGGTGCAAATGATTTGCACTGGGCTGGTAACCAAAAGGTTGGCAGTTTGAACCCACCCAGTGGTACTGCAGCAGAAACAGACCTGGCAATCTGCTTCTGTACAGATTACAGGCAAGAAAATCCTTTGGAGCAGTTCTACTCTGTAACACATGGGGTCTCCTAAGTCACATATCAACAACAGAATCAATAACAAAGGCAGAGGCGGTCAGACTGGATACAAAAGCAAGGCCCAACTATACATTGAATATAAGATAGTAATTTTAAATATAAATATACAGGTATGTTAAAAATAAAAAGATGTAATAAGATATACCACCCAAACACTAATCATAAGAAAGCAGAATGTATATATTAATATTAGACAAAGTATTCTTCAAAACAAAGAATATTACAAAAGATAATGAGGAACGAACACTATAGTGTTAAAAGGTCAATTCATCACTAAGACATAATTAACAATCGTAAGTGTGTATTGCACCTACAACAGCTTAAAAATACATGAAGCAAAAACTGCCACAACTGAAAGGAGAAAAAGACAAATGCAGAATTACAGTGGGAGACTTCAATATTCTTCTCTCAGTAATTGGTAAAACAAACAGAAAATCAATTAAGCATATAGAAGACCCTGAATAACATTATAAACCAACTTGACTAATTGACATTTATAGAACACTCCAGCAGACAACAGCAGAATACACATTTGTTTTAAGTGTACATGAAACATTCACTGAGACAGACCAAGGATTGAAATCAGACTAAGTATGTTTTTTGACACAAGGGATTTGAATTAAAAATGAATAACAGAATGTTACATGGAAATCCCTAAATATTTGGAAATTAAACAACATACTTCTAAATAATCCATAGGTCAAATAAGAAATCACAAGAGGAATTAGAATATATTTTGAAATAAATTAAATGAAAACAAAACATATCAAAAATTTTCGGACCTAGCTAAAGCAGTGGTTAGAGGTAAATTTATAGTTTCAAATATTTATACTAAAAAGAAAGGTATATATTTACTCATACATAAATAAAATGGTGGAAGACTAAATGCTTTTTCCTTAACATCAGGAATAAGAAATGATGTCTGCACTCACTAATTCTTTTTAACACCGTGCTGAAGGTCCTAATCAGTGCAATAAAACAAGGAAAAAAAAAGTATCCAGACTGGAAAAGAAGACATAAAACTGTTTCTATTATTTCTATATACTTGCAATGAATAATCAGAAATTGAAATTGAAAAATAACATTTATAATAGCTTTAAAAATATAAAATATAACAAAAGATGTGCTAGACTTTTACACTGAAAGCTACAAAACATTGCTGAGGGCAATTTAAAAAGACTTAAAAAATGAAGAGGTATACTGTGTTCATAGATCAGAAGACTCAATATTTTTAAGAGGTCAATTTTCTCCAAATTGATCTAGATTCAATAATAAGAAAATAAACCACTCAGTTAACAAATGGGCAAAAGATTCAAATAGATACTTCACCAAAGTAGATATATGAATGGTAAACACCAAAGTAGATATATGAATGGTAAATCAACATAAGATGCTCAACATCACTAATCATAAGGGATATGCAAATTAAAACCACAATGAAGTACCACTATTATCTATTAGAATAATTAAAATGAAAAAGACTGTACAAACTGTTGGTGAGGATGTAGGGCAATTGAAACTCTCATACAAACATACACAGCTGTACTGTAATGTAAATTGATACAACTACTTTGGAAAAAAAGTTTGTCAGTTTCTAAAAATATTAAACCCATAAGTCGGAATCAACTCAATGGCAACAGGTTTGTTTGTTTTTTTTACCACATGACCCAGCCATTCTGCTCCTGGGTATTTACTCCAGACAAATAAAAGCATATGTTCATACAGAGACTTGCGTGCAAAATGTTTATAGAATGGCCATAATTTTTAAGAAACTGACAATACCAAGTGCAGACAAGGATATGGAAAACATGGAACTCAAACATTACTGGAAATGCAAGACGGTATAGACACTTTGGAAAATAGCTTGGTAGTTTCTTTCAAATTTAAATACACACTTAAATCATACCAAAAAAAACCCCCAAACTTGTGACCATTGAGTCAATTCTGACTCATCATAGGACCCAGAAACCCCATTCCTAGGTATTTACCCAAGAGCAATAGAGACAATATGCACATAAAAAAAAATTGCATGGGAATGTTTTCAGTGGCTTTATTCAGAATCATCAAAACCTGAAAACATTGCAAATGTCCATAAACTAGTGAATGAATAAACAAATTGGTTTATCCACACAATGGAATACTACCTGTTACCCGAAAAAGGAGCAAAGTACTAATATGCAGCAACACGGATGAACCTCAAATGAAGTGAAAAACAGCCAAATGCAAAAGGCTATGTACTATACGATTTAATTTCTGTGACTTTTATAAGAAAACTTAAAAAAAAAAAAAGGCAAAACTATGGTGATAGAAATCAAATGACTAAGTTCCTAGGGGTTGAAAGGAGCGGATGGATGTAAAGGTGCACAACAGAACTCAATGGGGTGATGGAAATGTTTATATATTTGATTGTGGTGGTGGTTACATGACTGCAAAATTCATAGAAGTACATTAAAAAGGGGTGAATTTTGCTGTATGTGAATTTAAAAAAAAACAGTTGCCGTCGAGCCGATTCTGACTCACAGTGAAGCTTTTGGACAGAGTAGAACTGCCCCATAGAGTTTCCAAGGAGTGCCGGGGATTTGAACCGCTGACCTCTTGGTCAGCAGCTGAACATTTAACCACTGCGTCACCAGGGCTCTGCTGTATATAAATTATACCTTAAAACTAGACTTAGATAAATTGTAAAAGAATCAAAGTATACATTTTAAAGGACACAGGTAAAGCATGTATGGTGCTGAAAGAATAAGCTTTGAATCCAACAAGGAAGACGAAAAAAATGTATCCATCTCTCCTCCAGAGAAGAGACTGTCTGAATGATGAGAGCTAGGATTCAGAATGCTGGGCTTTAAGTGCTTGCTCTCATCTTTTTCCTGACTTGTGCAAAAAAGATTTCGTTCTCCCCAGTGCCCCACCTAATCTTTATCTTCTAACGGAAGCCACTTTTAATCTTAGGCCATTTTCCAATCGAAGCCCTTGGTGAACACCATGATGTAGAATTTAGTGCTTTTGAAGGTGACATTCTTGCTTTTGAGTCACTCCTTTCTCCAAGTGTCAAGATGTTCAGACAAGAGGAGACAGAGGAAATAAAAAAAGACGTGATTCATGTGGCTGGAGGCACTATCCCTTGAATAGTATACAGAACTAAGGGGCTGGCCAGGGGTTTCTGCAGAGTCCCACAGCATTTTTTGCAGGCACAGGTGTGCAGGTCCTCAGATCCTGGACAAGTTCCAACTTGGGTAATTATGTTCTCTCTCCCTAAGTACCCCCTGCTGCTTCTGATGGATACAGAATTCTTATTCACTTCCTGTACTAAACTGTTCTGTAGAGTTGCTGTGTAGCTGTTAAACAGCTGCCACATTCCTCTGCATACACAGTCTCTAAAGCACTTTTGGATGAAAGGTGCTATATAAACATAGTTTATTGTCATGTATCGGTTGCCTTTCCACTTGGTAGTAAGTTTTGTGAGGTTCTAACTATCAAATCCAGATCTGTATTCCATAGCACATCAACATTTAATTTCTTCCTCCTCCTCCTGCTCCCCAAGCCTCTCTAAACAACAAGGCACTTACCACAAGGGTCCGTAGACAGAGAGTCCCTGCAGGAGCACGGGGGTCCAAAGCAGCCACAAGGTCCCACACTTTTATTTTTCTAAAGATCAAAAAGGGGAGAAAAAATTCTTAGGTAAAAGCAAAATTAAGGAACACAGGGGAGAAGAGCAAAAAGTCATGGCAATAAGTATGTATAGTGAATATAGTTTATACGATAAATTCAGCTCACAGGAATATATACAAAACTTTTCTTATACTTTAGATGAAGCTTCACAGAACAAACTAGCTTCTCATTAAACAGTTAGTACATATATTGTTTAGTGACACTGGTTACTGTCTTAGTCATCTAGTGCTGTTCTAATACAAATACCACAAGTTTTAACAGAGAGAAATTTATTTTCTCACAGTCTAGTAGGCTACAAGTCCAAATTCAGGGCATCAGCTCCAGGGGAAGGCTTTCTCTCTCTGTCGGCCTTCTCATCAATGTTTCCCTGGACTAGGAGCTTCTCTGTGCAGGGACCCCAGGTCCAAAGGACATGCTCTGCTCCTGGCACTGCCTTCTTGGTGGTATGAGGTCCCCACTCTCTGCTTGCTTCCCTTTCATCTCTTGAGAGATAAAAGATGGTGCAGGCCACACGCCGGGGAAACTCCCTTTACATTGGATCAGGGATGTGACCTGGGTAAGGGTAGTGTTACAATCCCACCCTAATCCTCTTTAACATAAAATTACAATCACAAAATGGAGAACAACCACACAATTCTGGGAATTGTGGCCCAGCCAAATTGATATACGCATTTTTTGGGGGACATAATTCAAACCATGACAGTTACCCATCCCATGACATGTCAACACTCTCCCTTCTCGACCTTGGGTTCCCTATTACCAGCTTTCCTGTCCCCTCCTGCCTTCTTGTCCTTGCCGCTGGGTGGTGTGCCCCTTTAGTCTCATTTTGTTTTACGGGCCTGTCTAATCTTTGGCTGAAGGGTGAACCTCGGGGGTGACTACATTACTGAGCTAAAAGGGTATCCGGAGGCCATACTCTCGAGGTTTCTCCAGTCTCTGTCAGGCCAGTAAGTCTGAATTTTGTTCTACATTTTTCTCCAGCTCTGTCCAGGACCCTCTATTGTGATCCCTGTCAGAGCAGTCAGTGGTGGTAGCCAGGCACCATCTAGTTCTCCTGGGCTCAGGCTGGTGGAGGCTTTGGTAGCTGTGGTCCATTAGTTAAAACTTTTTTGTTTTGGAGACTTCGTTCTTACATTCACTCTTGGGTAAAGCTTACTGGTCTTAAAAGGGGAAAATGCATGTGATTAATCTAAAAACAAGAAACCAGTTAGCTTTAACCAAACAAAAGACAGGTGAATGGTAAAGTTAAACCATGCTTTAGGGCCAAGAAGAGATCTTGTACATTAGACTTCTTATGATACAAGAGCTCACTTAGACCTAGATATCTACAACTCTGAGGCATCTTCCTTCTGGTCAGTTCTATGAATGGCCCAGCTCACATGTACCAGAGGACTCAGGTTCATTGAAGAGTTCTGGAGTTGATAATAAGTAAACCTTCATATTTTGACTTAATTAAGAAAAGTCTAGCTCTTCCAAAAACCAATTATAGGTTATGTCTTCTCATGGAAAATAACAGACAAAACCAAGAAACGTGGGTGCAGATCAAAACCAAGGTAATGAGAAAATGTAACCTTAGACCCAGCTGGAACATGTCATCATACCCTTAACAATTTCCCAAGGTATGACAGTGATGGCTAACTCAAAGCAGAGGGAATGTGCCTGTTACACTCCCTGCTGCTTGAGTTGGCTTAATATATCAGTATAGCTAACTCAAGAACTAAGGTAATGCTGTAAGCTGGTTTCTAATACTAAAAAAAAGCTGCCAATATTTGAACTGTAGCCTTCCACTCAAAATCAGGCACCTTGATAATAAGAAATGATAAAGAGGGCTTTATAAACTAATACATTTTTATATGCTATGTGCTTAGTGTTGCTAGACATGAATGGATTCTATAACCCGTGGAAATTATTCTGAAGAAAACAAAGGTTATTGAACTCCTGGTAACTGACATGCTAGGAAAGTGATGATGAGAGCTACACTTTTAGGAATTACTTTCAACGAGATCAAAATTCAAGACCCTACCACACTAAGCTCCAAAGATACTGCCCTCCAGTGTTTCAGTGTTATTGTCACCATCTGTCACGGATTGAATTGTGTCCCCCAAAAAATGTGTGTAGCAACTTGGCTAGGTCATGATTCCTAGTATTGTATGATTGTGTTATCTGATGTGATTTCCTTATGTGTTGTAAACTCTACCACTATGACGAGATTACATGTGATCTATGTGTTGTAAATTCTATCACTGTGATGAGTTTATACTGATGAGGTCGACAAGATCAAGGTCTTAATGCAATCTCTTTTGAGATATAAAAGAGAGAAGTGAGCAGAGACACATGGGAACCTCATACCACCAAGAAAGCAGTGCCAGGAGCAGAGCACGTCCTTTGGACCTGAGGTTCCTGCATAGAGAAGCTCCCAAACCAAAGGAAGATTGATGACATGGACCTTCCTCCAGAGCTGATGGAGAAAGCATTCCCCTGGAGCTGATGCCCTGAATTTGGACTTGTAGCCTACTGGACTGTGAGAGAATAAATTTCTCTTTGTGTGGCCATCCACTTGTGGTATTTCTGTTGGAGCAGCACTAGATGACTGAGACACCATCTTATACTGGGTTTGTCCTATTCTTTGCTTTATAAGGTAAAAGAGACAAATATTTTGGTTATTAATGAAAAATCCGTGCAATTAAATGATTGGGAAGAATATTTTAGGAAAGAGTACACAAAGGAGAGGTGAATAAATAGATTAGACTAAAGAAATATTGTATCAAACCCTTTCTGTGAAATCGATAAGCTTTTAGAGACAAGGAGAAGCTATATTTAACATTGTAAGGCAAGAGGCATAGAGACACAGATTTTTTTTAATCTATCAGCAAACTCACCCATCATAGGCCCCACTGACTATCCTCTTGTTATCAAATCGAATACAGCGCACCAATTCCTCATGGCCTTCTAACACTCGTAAACATGCTCCACATTCTATGTCCCACAATCTGAAAGAGAAAATTGAGTCAAGTGAAAATTTTTACGTGTTCTCTTCTGAGCTTGGAATGTTATAATAATTTACTTTGTATGTCTTTAAAGAACACACCAAAATAAAATCAATCAACAACCATACAAAAATGTATTGCTTTCGATATAATTTATTTGCTTACCGTCATATAACTCAGGCAGAAAAAAACTATCTGTTGTTCAAATATAGCATGTATTTTCAAAGCACAATGCTTTATATAATTCTGTAACCACGTTCTCCCAGGCATAAAAAGGATAAATGCAATGCATACAGTTGCCTGGGAAAGAAATGATCAAGACAAGAAAGTAACACTTCACCGATAAGAATAAGATGCAGAGCGTCCATGATTTCCTGCCTCAAAAAGCATCTCCACTTGGTCACTGAGACCCTGCTTTCACCCACTGCGAATCAGGAAAGTGCAAAGTTCTCAAAAACATTTATATATTAATTTATAAAATCATACGCTTTTAGAACAATCCAAGTGATTTCGAGAAATGATAATTTTCTTAGATACAACAACAGCTCAATCTCTTTGTTTTTTTTTTTTTTTTTTCTAATTTTTTTTCAACCTCTCAATACTTAGTTGAAGAAAGGGGGAGGATGGATACATTTTCCTAATTTTAATTGTATCTGTGCCCTCATCTTTGTGAGGAAGAACACTAAAGAATACTTCAACTTGTGAAGTTTTCATAATTTCAAAGACAGGTAACTCCTTGGCCAAGTACCAACTTAGGCAATGTTAAGAAAATGAAATTGCACAATTTTAGTAGGGAAACAAATTTTCCTTCTTCTTCTTTTTAGAACAGTGGTAAAGAGGAAAGGCTTTTAGCTATTTTATTAGCACTTTTCAATAGTAGACAGGAGAAATTTAAAGAGAAGGGCCCTCAACCCTCCATCTACCTGTCTCTCTTGCCTGCTTCCTCATTCAAGCAGTACCTATTAAATAGGTCTATATGGTGATAAGGAAACCCTGGTGGCGTAGTGGTTAAGAGCTACGGATGCTAACCAAAAGGTCGGCAATTTGAATCCACCAGGCACTCCTTGGAAAGCCTATGGGGCACTTCTATTCTGTCCTATAGGGTCTCTATCAGTTGGAATCGACTTGACGGCAGCAGGTATATGGTGATAAAACTATTACAGGAAGGAAACACATCAACAAAAGGCTATGCTGTGCTGCGTCTCTGCTTGGGGCAAACTTGTGACCTGTAAGAAGCTACAGAAAGGAAAAATATTTTATTATAAACATAACACAGTTGAGTATTTGTATAATCCACATGAAAACACTGAATGGCAGCAATATTGATCCCTCTGGGAAAGGGCATCTGCTGCTCACCTGATGGTGTTGTCAGATGAGCCACTCACGACCAGCCTGTCTCTGTACTGCAAACAGGCAATGCCTCGTTTGTGTCCATTTAAGGTCCTTACAAATTCACAAGTACTTGTGTTCCATACCTGAAACAGAAAAAAGCATTTGGCAGTTAATCTGGGACTTTTACTGGTAAAATCTATGGCAACCGGAGTCTTGGGGAAGTAGAAAACAGAACTGAACCCCTGGAGAAGTCAGCTTCTCAAACAAAGCAAAACAGAAAACATGACAAGTTCAATTTATGATAATCTAGGGCTAGTTTGTATCTGCCTGCTATCACATGAGAATTTCTCAGAATGATTTACTCTTATGGGGTTAGTCTGATCTTGCAAATAAATTTTCTTGAACCAAATTTACCCTGACGCTTCCAACACTTACTACTATTTTTAGGAATAAAATACCTAATCAAAACTGTTGAATAACTTGTCTTCCCCATTATCCTTTTACACAGACAAGTCTCTGAATTAAATATTAAGTTATTCTACAATGATGTTTAACTACGACATTTCCCTTGATCAAATTTTCACATGAACTTCCCTACTCTAAACTGGAGACTTATGGAAATTGGTTATTGTCCAATTCAAGAGATCTCAGGGTTCTTACCTTTATAGTCCTATCCCCAGACGCAGAAACAACGTACTTATCATCAAAGTCTACAACATTGACAGCAGCTCGATGTCCAACCAGCACCCTCCGGAGGGTAATGTCAGTTGGGGAGGCCATATCCCATACGGCAATGGAACGGTCTTTGGAGCAGGTCACCATCATGCCATTATTGAAACGCAAGTGCAGAACTGCTTCGCAATGGTGGATCAGTGTGTTTAGCATTTCACCTGTATTTACATCCCACACCCTGGAACAAACAAAATTAAGGTTATCTCAGATTTAGATGGTACCACAATCTGTTGCCAGTATATGACCACCGCCCCTATCCCCAGCCCCTTCACGATGAATTATTATAAAATTTCTGATGTTCAATCTGATACCACTAACGAGATACCTTTTAAACTGGGGCTCTGATTAATATCAGCAGTATTAGTGCCCTACTGACAGTCCTCAGGAACCCGAATTGATATAGATCATGATGCTTCTGTAACAGATTTATTTAGTACTGTGGATCTGGGCTTGAGGAACCTGGATCTTAGGTTTCGCCACCCACATCAAACCTCAAGATTACCAATACTCTAAGTCTAAGCCCTCACTTTTGTACTTTGTATGGGGGTGGGGATCAAGAATAGCCATCCCACTGTAAACACTGGCTTCACAGCAGAGTGTGGGACCCTTGAGAATTTTGTGTGATGATATATTTTACAGTAGTATTTTTGTTTGTGTGTTTACTTTGGCTTTCATAACACATTTTATTTGCTTTTCCAGTTTAATCTCCTTTTTCAGAAAATCATTTTCTCCCTTATCCTATAAATGATGTTAGCCCGCCCCTACAGTGTTTCAGCTTCCTTGATGTACTCCACAAGTACCAATAAATGTTAAATGTCAATAACCATGAGGACTGACTTAGCTATGCCTTTAAGTCAAAAGATAAGGAACAGGAATAGCCTTCTCTATTCACAGAGGATAACCTGGAATGGTAAACATTCAACTTCAGAGAATCTAACAATGTAGTTAACTCTTTTTGTCTAGTTTTTAAAAAAGAAGTTATTTTTGATGCATTATGTTTGCTAAGTCCTTTAGCTTAAGGCAAAATTCCTAACAGAGGTTTCTGGCAGCGCTGCCTGTACCCAGAACTCAAGCTACACTGGACGCCAGCAGCATAATGTCTGTGTCATCAAATCACTAACGCCTCTGGAAATTGAAGGCCCCCTCCCTGAGTGAAGCTCACAATTAAAAACTGCAGGGACGGCAGGGGAAGGGCTGGCAAAGAGAGAGCATTGCCCATCTATATATATTTTAAAGGAGATAATGCATACCTGCACTACAGTTATAACTACCTGAAAGGCAGGTTTCATTCCATTCATGTCACTCCCCTGTGAGGCGTTTTTTTGTAAGGAATGCAAGGTTTACCATAAAGAAAATAAAAGTTTCTATAATGGATGATTCTCCCAAATTAAAACAGAATGTGTAATTTCCTTAAACGCACAAAAATGTAAACTTACCTCAATCATTCCTAAATCAAGTTTTCTAGTTCTAGATTGACACAAATGATGAGGGAAGCTGACGGTTTATTCTTCTTTAATTATGACATTTCAGGATTATATTTTTGCAGATACATACAAAATTACTATCTATGACAAAGAACAGAGTGGATCTGATGTTTCAGAGTTCAAAATTCATTTGAAATTTTCTACCTGACGGTGGAATCCGATGATCCAGTTATGATCACCCTCTCATCATACTGGAGGCACAGGACAGAACCTGTGTGGCCTGTGAGAATTCGCTTGCATTCCAATGTGCTTTTATCCCAGATCTAGGATGGCAAACAAGAAGATCCTTTTGATCACTGCGATAAGGGGGTACTGTGGAGACTTGCTGGCTCTATTATATGTTTGATCCCCAAAAGAATCAAAGCCCAGAGTAGTGTGGAATGCATTCTTTTCTACAGGTAAAGCTAAGTACCTATATATATGTGGCTTCAGTACTAATGCAGACTTTATCCTTTTCATTAGGGAACAGAGTAGCCTATAATTATGTGAGGGCCAAAGGAGTAATAGCCCATTTGGTGCACTTCAAGAAGAGAATTTAACCCTGGGACCAACCATCTGTATGCTCTTCTGGGGGAAGCAGATATGTCCTTTAAGGAAATGATTTGCTTTGGGAGTGGAAATGACTAAAATTATCACTTACTTTCCGGAAATAATGCTTAGAGTTTATGCGTTGGAATCCTTTATGAATGCGGTCACCCTTGCCCCCAAGCAATCCTCTCACGACTGAAGAGGTCTCACCTTGATTGTGTTGTCTCGAAGGCCGCTTACAATCTTCTGATCATCATACTGTAAACAGTAAACTCCTTTGCTTGTTTCACTTCGGCAATGGATTCTCTGTAAACTATGTCTTCCACATCTCCAATTAGATTCTATTGTCTGAGAAGAAGGACGGTAAAGAGACAGTAATTAGGAAAGAACCAGAACCAAACTCTTACATTTCTTCCAGTTGTTATCAGGATGGTAAGCTGTGACAAATGTCCAATGCTTCACTCTAAAGGACATACAGAACTTAAACTAAAAAGCCACTACCTAAATTTATAAAACATTTTTCCATTTGCAACGTGATTAAAGATATAGTTTCTAGAACTCTCCTGCATGTAACTCATTCAAGAAATAATATACTTTGTGGAAAGAGATTTGTTACCAACAGAAGGCAAGCTATGAACCATGTGAGGTTATATGCTCAGTGTTCTTCCTAAAAATATGATGGCCATTTCTACCAGTGAACTTTCATGAAGAGTGAAGATATCTGAATATCAGCTTATAACTGTAACTTTAGCAGTCTCACTGCTATTTTATGATGATGTCATATATTCTTTCTTTCTCCCATCTATTTACCTGTTAGTGAACAATTTTTTAAAACTTAAAAAATTTGCCTGGCAATTTACTAGATTTTATCTACCCTATTCACTTTTTAGGAAATTGATTTTTTAACCCACATCAATAAACTCTAAGTGGATTTAGTGTAACAATACTGTTACTGAAGAATGCTGATGACTCTCTAGCATTTGGCAAATACCCAAACATACACAGATTCTTACCTCAATGTCTCGTATAATTTTAGGATAAAGTGCTCTATAAAATGAGTTGGGAGGAGCAGTCCCATCCGGAGGTTTATTTTTGAATAAATACTGTCCCCTAAAAAACAACAAATATTTCCCAATGAAAATAATATTATTACACATTTACAAGGAGTACCTTCTTTAAAGTGTTTTCAGTTACTATTCCATACAATCTCCATAACTAGGCCTGGAGAGGTGTGAATTAAGGAGTCTCGTGTCAAAAAGTAACTTTCTGGGATCTAAGGAACTCAGCCAACACTGATTTTTTTTTTTTTGGTAAAACATGATTATTTCCACGTAGAACATCAAAATAACTGTACTACTTACCATATGGTTTTTAGGAACACCAGGTTTTTCTGATTCAAGAAAACAGAGTCTGATTCCAGAAAGCAGAATATCAGGCCTTAAAAAATATTGTAATATCAACAGATAAACTGATTATGTGTAACCAGATTTCATATATTGGTCTATTAGACCTCTGTGTAGAAACATTTCATTGGCCTTATCTTTTGAAAATTCTGTTAGTAATGCCATAACTACTACCTTTGAACTAGCAAATAAACCATAGACTTTTCCTCACTGAGTAAAGCTGTGCCAGTGTCAGTGGAGCCTAGCATCATGGGCAGCAGAAACGCCCATGTCGTGGAAAACACTTTTTCTAGGTCTCTATTTGTGTGGGTAAGATATATTGGCTGCTGAGGCACCCAGGCTGCTAGTGATCAGAGTAGCTATGCTTTAAAAGGAGCAATTTGGTTCATTTCAACAAAAAACAAAGGGATCACAGGAGTGTCCAGCATCAGGTAGGGCAGAAGATGAAAAGAAACGCCTAAGAGCACTGTTGCTGTCAAGTCTAAGGCATGAAATTGACTTTCACAGGTGTGTCCCTGGCTATGCACACACAGACCTGCATTTTACTACCTTTCCTTGATTCCAGTGAGGAACATTTGTTAGCTTCCCCTTCCTTATGACAGCACATCTCTGGAATACTCATATCCCATGCTAGATCTTTGCTACAAAAAAATTCAGTAAGTGGTGATCACTACCTGCTGGGTAAAAAATTTAATTCCTCATTCTGAAGTTAAGAACCCACCAGACACGGTGTGGAAGCTAGTAAACCCCACTATGCGTGTACTAACTGCTGTTCTCACTGGCACCGTGCCTTGCAAAGTGGAGAAAGGCAGAAATGCCTCTGAGTGTAATCCTGGCACCAGAGAAATCATGTTTTCTCTAGGCCAGTCATCCACTCCTCCCTCTATAGTCTACTACAATATAATTAATTGTTTGGTGTCTCCAAGAACGCTTCTCCCTTGCCCTTTCCCTATTATACACCTCGAAAATTAGTTGAGAAAATTTCCTGTAAGGAAGGTAGATTGTTCTAACTTCTACGTTAATACAAAAAGGGAAATTACAGGGAAGAAACAAAAATAATATAGTTTTTAAAAAGGGACTAACAGGAGCAAGAAAAATGATGTACCAACGTAAAGAAAAGTACAAACGGGACTCATTTATGAAATAAGTCAGGTTTAAAGGTACATTCTTATTCTATAAATACCTGCACATAAACAAGTATTCACATAGATTTTGAAGGATTCTAAATCTGGATGATAATTATAATAATTTCAACCCTAACACCCTTTAATGAGCTAGGAATCATTATTTACATTTTGCAGATAAAGAAATCAAATGTCAGGGAGGTTAAGTAACTTGCCCAAGTTTGCATAGCTAACACATATCTGACCTGGGATGTGAATCTAGGTCTGACTCCAGAGCCCCACTCTTAACCACTTTATTGTCTCTCAACACCCACCATTCCTCGGTCTACCTTTTCATCTCTGGCAATTGTATACAGGTACTCCAGGATTTTCTTCACATACATTGGTATTATCTCTACAGCCTAAGGAGGACTCCTATGAACTCCAATTTTGTTTTTTACCCCACTAAAATTTACCATGCCTTGCTTAAGTATCTGAATTTCTTCAAATCAAAGGTGCTACAAAGAAGGGTAGCTAGGTGTTGAAAACTGGCTTTTTGGTCTAAGTTGTAAGTCAAAATCTTTTCCAATGGAAGCTCTCTGACAACAGGGACCAGTTCTATGCGAAATGCCTAGTACCTGTGAGAGTGTGGGTGTATGATAAATGCTAAATATTAAACTCAGAATGTTATCATAAAATGTGATGTGCTGATTAAGAAAACAGACTTTTCCCAAGTGGTCTTTTATTATACTTTTAAGAGTTACCATTACTGAGCAGAGACAGTGTATTCAGTATTATTCACGAGAGAAAATGACAAAGTTTGTGTCCTAGGGGCAGACTATCAAATCCATCTAGAAGCAAAATACAACAGCAAAGTAGAATTAAGTCTTAGAGACCCAAAGCTTTACTAGAAAAGTGTATTTACTTCTGTATTTTTGGTTGGAGGAAATTTTCAAAGACAGCATATGGGGAAAGCTAACACACAAAGATTTTATTGACATATTAGGCTTAGTAACACAACTTAAAAGAAGAAACTGCTCATAGATTAAAATTTAAAAAAAGGAAGACAACTAACACAAGAAGAAAGGCAACATGTAAAAATCAAAACAGCAACAAGAAAAGGAGATACTGGAGAAGGTCTTCATGGGATAGACAAATATTTGTAATTACATGGGGCTACATGACATTAAGAGGATAAATGTGGTCAAAGACAGCGGAATATAGGCTGAACTCTGAAGAATACTCAAAAGTGCTAGAATGGGTTTCTGTGTTTGAAGAGATAGGGGCAAGAGTAATAATTAGTGCTGGATCCCGCATTATTTCTCAGCTACACCTTCATATACGCTTTTAAAAGGCCAAAAAGTCATCTTTTCAATGATCTTATATTTTCTTTGTAGCTAAAATAACAGATCTTGCTGTTTAGTTAGTACCAACCTAAGCAAAATTGTGGAGCCTATGTTTACTTTTGGCATTTTCACCTCCATCTGTCAAGAACTGCCCGCTTACTTCCTGTTTTCCCTTTCTGCTCCCATTAAAACCTGCCTTCAAAGAAGGATTTAGTGAACTCCCAATGTCTGGTAAAGGTTTACTGTCATTTATAGTCCAAATGGGAACAAAGTGTGTTGTAACAGGGAACAAAGCCTTTATCCCAGTGGGGATGGGAATAAATCTCTATAACTGAAATTTCAGGTCAGGAGTTATTTAGAGTTTTTTTTTTTTTTTTTTTAATTTTCTTTTCTTTTCTTTCTGAGGGGTGGAGGAATATTCCCAGCTGCCTGAAATTTTCCCATGTAAGCAACTGTTTGCTCTTATTTCTAAGGATGGTCCTGGCATTCTTAGCTAAATCATGAACTCTGAAAGTCATAAAACTATATACTTAATTGCTTTTTTACACTGTGAAAACATGAAGTGAGTTATAAAAAATAAGGTTTCTATTTTTCAACCATAGTGAGAAAAGAAAACCATACCTGGGAAACAAATAACAATATTCATTTATTTATGTGATTTTTATTTAGCCAAAGAACTGTATGGTATTTTGTTCCTTTTAATTAAATTTGAGATAAAATTTTAAGGCTCCCTAATAAGCAGAATGACAGAAATCTCTGATATATTTGGCATGATATTTAAGGGTCATTATATTTATTTAGGAGCCCTGGTGGCACAGTGGTTAAGCACTTGGCTGCTAACCGAAAGGTCGGTGGTTGAAACCCACCAGCTGCTCCACAGGAGACATGTGGCAGTCTGCTTCCATAAAGATTTACAATCTTGGAGACCATATTGGGCAGTTCTACTCTGTCCTATAGGGTTACTATGAGTTGGAACTGACTAAACAGCAATGGGTTTAATGAATTTCCAAAGCACACAAAAAAAGAAAAGGCGCCAACTACACTGTATTCTTTCGCAAACAATGCACCCACATAAATAATGCGCACACACATATAATGTGCACAGTGCACTTAGGAAAGTAATGCGTGAGGGGGTTGCGTGGTTGGCAAAAATGTATAACGTGCATGTTATCTGCATAAAAATATGGTATTTTTATGAAAATTGCTAAGGAAAGCTGATCCATAGGAGTATCTATCTTTTTAAAGCATTGCGTCTTCCTAACCATTTTGTATTTCCTTGTGATCCAAGATAAACAATTGATAACATTAATCTGGATGAAATTTGGAAGGATATCATAGAACATACTTATTCCTGTATCATTGTTACTATCAACTAAAATACTTACGTAGTATGTCATCTTTATTTTATTTATGAAAAATTCATACCTGGCTTCCTTATAGTGACATTCTAGAAACATCCTCTGAAAGAAAATTATACATAGAAGACATCTTCCAGAAGTTCTAATGAAATGGTATCATGTTAAGAAAACAAAAACATTAACTGGTGAAGTCTCTTAGGCTGCTAACTATATTAATGCTTTAAAGAATTCAGGATTAAGCAGTAAAATCTCAAGAAAATACAAGCCTTAAGAAGAAACAATGATTTTTACTAAATTACATTTTTTTACTCTTTCTGATGACTACAGTCCTTATGCTAGTTGGGCATAAAACCTAACTCTTTGCTTACAAAGGTGATCAAACACCAGGGGTGTGGGCTAATGGCAAGACATCTTCTGAAGGAGAGAAGAATCATTTGTCCTGGGTTATTTTAGGAGGACGCTGGATCTGATGGTTTCTATATGATTCAAAGTAACCTGCACGCCTTATAAATTGCTCATCAGCCGTTTTCCAAGATACCAATTTCTGCCCAGAGAACAGAATGTTTTAAGCAGGTGGGCAGGCCAGTTTTCCATTATTTTTTACAAAGCAATATTAACACAACATTGTCATTTTATGAGTGACTGGTCAGAAGAAAAATTGCTGAGTACACAAAAAACTATTCTCCTTTAATTTTTTTTTTTTTTTTTGTTATAAACCAGCAAAATCATTGTATCCATTGGTAAGTGGCCTCACTGCTTCCCAATAATCTTCCAATGACTCTGAATGACCAGGTCCTGCAGCTCTGTAATAGTGAGGAAGTTAAAAGGCTCACCATCCTCTTCGTTCTGCCAGGCCTCTCCATAGAGAATCCGTCCTGACCATTCTCTCAATGAGCTTCTTCCATAACATGCCATCAGATGTCACTCGGTACCATTCCTTGCACACAAGTTCAGCAGCACATAGTGATTTGGCATCCAGGTATGACAGAATGTTCTCAGCAATGTGATCCAAACCTCGAGCTTTCAGAGGGGAGAAGAGGTGAAGGGAATAGGCAAAGGAAAAAGAAGAGAGAGAGTAGTGAATGATTTTTACAAAAGCGTCTTTAAAACAGAATAGCATTTGTTCTACTACAAAGGCTCATCATTGTTCCTAGTGTGGTCCAGCTTCTTTTTCAAACAGAGACTTGGGTAAAATGAGTGTCAGTAATTTTTCCATAAGGTTACAGAAATGAACAGTATTTTCCATCTTCCTTTAGATAAGGAAGTTAAAGCTAACAACCAGCAAACCCCCCAAGACATTAAAAATAAAAAGGGTTCCAGAAAACAATTCACATCTATCTATATGGACTTCAGCACGAGGGGATGTTCTATGGACGGCATCTCAAACTCTGTGATTCAGGCCCCCCCAAATCTCGATATTACATCCATTTCTCATTCTGTTTCTATTACTGCTGCAGTTTCAAAGCTGTTCAGTAAAAGAAATATCCTTTAAATGTACTGGGGGAGAAGCACTAAGTCAGAATGTGCTAGGTTACAGAATTTTGGGCATGAAGAAGTAAGGAGAGAAGAAGGAACTACAGACTGGTATAGGAACATATGGAGAGGAAAGATAGAGAGAGAGGTTTATGTTCAAGGATGAGTTTAATTTCATATGTTTAAAAAATTATATTTGAGAATAGCTGCTGCTATAAAACCTAAATGACAGTTGACCAAAAATGAAAAAAATCTCAGACCAGTAAATAATCTGGTTAGCATTTCAGAGAATATTTTGTAGTCTGCACAAAGGGAAACAGTGGAGGGTAAGTCTTGGGCTGTGCAAACTGAATGGGGTTTCCAATTAAAATTCTCTACTACCCAAACCTGTACTGAGGACTCTGAGGAATAGATCCTATAAAATACGGTGGTTGCACTGATAAACTCTTTTGGCTGTTGTTCTAATTCACAAGTGAGACAGAAACATTCAAAGTTATTTCCCTTTACAGGTACATATCAGAGGTTTTCTAAAGACTTAAATAGTTCGGAAGGATTCCTTCATACTCTGACTCCCGTAGGCACAAACTTAACAGGAAAGACAATACCACATTTCATTTTATGCCTTTCCCCTGGATCATGCAAAGACACACTTGGACACCATTAGTAACAATCCAAAAGTGCTTAAACATTAGTCTAATTATGGAAATTGTATAGATATCAGTCACATTTTTTTCAGCAGACTAGGGAAAGAAAGCATTAAATGGATCTTGTTTGGCTAGCATCACATGCTCATATTTAAGCATAAGCAGATGGAGGCATCCATCACCTAATTCTTATTAAAGGAACATGACTATAAGCCAATTAAAGATATAATAATTAGTTTTTCACACAAAATACGGTGATGATACAATTTTTGCATCTTTATATTGAAACTATCTATATCATCAGAAAAGTTTCCATAATGCATTTTTGTGTTTTTAATTGCTGTCATCAAATTGCTCCTGATTCTTCAGTATGTACTGATAATAAGTCTTTGGAAGTAATTTCACCTAACATGCCAAACAAACCCCTTACATTAAAGGATTATAGGCTCTTTTTTTTTAAGTAGTGTGGTTTACTAAACGTAACCAGATGGTATAGGTTTATAAATTAAAATGGCTGTAAAGCATTAGGCTGATGTCTTAATACTTTACAGAGTGGTCACCAGATACACACTGCTGTTGTTATGTTGTTTGGTGCCATCGAGTTGGTTCTGACTCATAGCAACCCTACAGGACAGAAAAGAACTGCCCCACAGGGTTTCCAAGAAGCAGCTGATAGATTTGAACTGCTGACCTTTTGTTTAGCAGCCGAGCTCTTAACCACTGCACCACCACGGCTCCTAGATACACACTAGGAATCAGTATTAGGCAAAGGATATACAAGCTGAGTCAACTCCTATTCAATTTTTAGTGGTATAAGCTTGAGATAGCAGCATGTCTCAGTGACTGGGGGAGAGCACAGTAATGATACACACACAGACTGTTCGCACAAAGAAAACAGTTTGCCTATGGCTAAAACAAAATCCAATGAGTGAAAAGAGGACAAAAATTAATTTTAAAAAAAGGTATAGGTACAAATCCAGCTTTAAAATGGCTATTTCTAAACCATAAATAGGCATTTCTTTTGTTTTAAAGGGAATTTAAGTTCTAAGTTTAAAAAATTTAAAAAGATATAGCTGGTAAAAATTAAACAGATTAGTAATACGAAGTTTTTGTGATGATTAAAAAGAAAAAAAAAAAAAAACACCTGTTGCTGTGAGTCAATTCCAGCTCGCAGCAACCCTATAGGACAGAGTAGAACTGCTCCATAGGGTTTCCAAGGAGCGGCCAGTAGATTTGAACAGCCAATCTTTCAGTTAACAGCTGAGCTCTTAGCCACTGCACCACCAGAGCCCCCTGGTAAGGATACAAGTCAGTATATTCTTAGAGAATAGTTTGGTAGTATGTATTAATAGCCTTAAAAATGTTCATACTCTTTAATATAATCATTCTACTTCTGGTATTTTTTTTTCCCAGAATGCCCAAAAGATTAATGTATAAGAATGTCTACCATAGCACAGTTTATAATAGGAAAACAATCTGAAACTATCTAAGTGTTCAATAAAGGGATTAGATAAATATGTGCTTCGATCATTTTAAAGAATACTAGGCAACAATTAAAAATTATGTTTTAGAAGAACAAACACTTAGGAAAATACATTAGGAGAACATATTAAGAAAAAATTTATTACATGTTATGATCACAGCTTTAGGGGAAAATACACACACTTAGGAAAAAAATTGGGTTATATGGCAAAATATGAACAGCACATTAGCGGTTCTCTCTGAATGGTGAGGTTCTGAGTAAATTTAATTTTATTTTAAAAAATTTTAAGAACTACTTTTCAGTATTTTCTCAATTTCTTATGATGTAACTTCTATAATCAGGAAACAAAAATACATAAAAAGATATATTTTGGTTAAGATTCACTCATCTCTGTACTATATTTTCTTTTAAAATAAGCTTTTAACACAGATGAGAATCTGATAGCTTCCTAAGATAGCATTTCCCCCAAATACTGACGCCTTTGTAATCTCCTAGATCACCACTGAGCAAAACAACCACAGCACCCTTCAAAAAAAAAAAAGTATTTTTAAGTCTCATAATCTATATATTTATTTAGTTTACAATAGCTATTTGGTTACTGAGCACAGTGAGATAATAAAGCCTGGAATTTAAATATTTAAGGTCACAAAAAGACTCCTGCCATACTTTTCTTTCTAAAATTAAAAGTGTTTCTTATTCAACCCTTTGATAAATTCCCATAAGAATCCAAATCTAAGTACATAATTAACATATCTTGAAACTAAGACATACTATAAAAGATATGCCTTAAGCCAGATATTGCCTGAAAAGACATTTTATTTGGGCCTATGTGTGGGTAAAAATAGCGGTGACTAGATAGGCATGAGACAGTCTTTATTTCCAGAGTTTGATTTTTTTTTTTTTATTTATACACCAAGATGGTATGATAGGTTCAATTTGTAAAAATCAAGCCAATAAAGACTTTTAAGAAGAGAGATGTATAGCTGAAGATCTAGTACAGTTACGTTGCAGGAAATCTTCCAAGAAAGTTAGTGGTTTACAAATACCTGTAGACATACCTGGCAGAGCAGTTATGAAATCCCTCTGCAACATAGGTTTAAGATATGAGTTTATATGCCCATGTTGGTAATGACACATTTGGGATATAAGATGTTCCACAAATTCTACTTGATCAGACTCTGACCACTGTTCGAAATATTTGACACACAGTTCCTTTTCCTTCTCATAGCTTGCTGAGAGTTTCCGTTGCTTGGGCACAATCATACTGGAAGTGCCATTGGCAAGTTTTGTCTGTAGAAGGGAGGGATTAAAAGAAATATACAACAATAAGTATTGAAATGAAGGAAATGTATAATTTTCTGGTCTGACACGCTGTTTTGTCTATATGATGGAGTCCACTATGTTACTCTATTAGTAATTCTACATTTGTGAATCGCAATTACATGGAAAACCACAGAAATACCATAATAGGTTAGTAAATTAGGTATACTGTCAGAAGACTAAGCATTCATTTCCAGAAGTTCTCAGGAAGAAATTCTTATTATTTGGAGATATACAGATGAAAACCGAAAGCTGAAAGCATGTTAAGTTATTATTACCAGCAAGTCAAAAAGCTGATTTTCCTTTTTCTTGTATATACTAGTTAATAGACATTACACAATTACTTGCTCACAATTCATTTTTAAATAGTAAAATAAAAAATCCTCTAAGCAAAGAAAGGCCAATGAATATTTTGAGACTCTGGTGCTTTTGATAATAAAGCTTAAATAACACTCATGCCCAATCCACCCTTTTCCTTGCAAAAAAATGCCATCTCTACTGTTATCAAAATTATGTTATAAAGTCTTTTTTATTGATTCATTCATTCAATAAATATTTATTGAGCATCTACAATGTGCCAAACACTGTTTTAAGTGCTAGGAATATAACAGTGAACAATTTATAATCTAGTGGGGGAGGCAAGTTAAAAATATAAATAGAAAATATAATGTAGACAGTGCTATGAAAAAAAATAAAGCGAGATAAGAGGACAGGAAAGAAGTGTGTAGCTGTGGTAGGCCAAATTCTAACATGGTTCCCCAAAATTTCTGGCCCCTGGTGTACACACACTTTCTCTCTGTTATTCAAACAAACACTAATGTAGATACCGCTGTGAAAGATTTTGCAGATGTAATTAAGTTCCGAAATCAGCTGACCTTAAAATAGGGAAATTACCCTGGTGGGTCTCCACCTAATCCCATGAACCTTTTAAAGGCCGGAGAGTTTACTCTGACTGGCTGCAGAAGAGGAAGGAGGCCATGTGGCAAGGAATGTGGTTGCCTGAGAGCAGCCCCCCAGCTGATAACCTGCAAAGAAACAGGGACCTCGGTTCTCCAACTGCAAGGAAGTGAATTCTGCCAACAAGAATGAGCTGAGAAGAGGATTTTTTTCCCCAAGAGTCTTCAGATGAGAAGTAAGCCTTGATTTCAGCCTTGCAATACCCTGAGCAGAGAAAACCCAGCCATGCTGGGCCAGACTTCCACCTACAGAACTGTGAGCTAATAAACGGATGCTGTTTTTAAGCTATTAAGTTTGTGGTAATTTGTTATACAACAAAAACAAATATAAATCCTAATACAATTACTTATATCTGAGGGGTCAGAGGTGGCTTCTCGAAAGAGATGACATTTTAACTGAGACATGAAAGAAATGAGGGAACAAATGAGGGAAAAGGTGGAAATGGACCTGAGTTGTTATTTTGGGGAAGAATGGTCTATGCAATGGGAATTTCAAGAACAAATGTCCTAAGTGGCATGTGCCTGGCATGTTCAAGGAACAACAAGAAGGCCAGGTATGGCTGGAAAAGAGTGAGCAAGGAGAAATACTTAGAGAAGTGATCAGAGCCAGATCATCATTTAGGTAGTGGTAGCTAATCTCCAAAGGAAGCCCCAAGCAATTCCAGCCCTCTCTGTACACATACACTGTTCCTCTCATCAAGAGGTGGAGTTTATGTCCTACCCTGTGACTGCAGACTTTGACTCGTAACCGAATGTGGATAAAGTGACATTCTGGGACTTATAAGCCCAGGCAGCTTCTGCTTACCCTTCTTGGAGCCTTGAGCCACCATGTAAAAAATTCAGGCTAGGCTGCTTGGGAGAGAGGCCTGGAAGATGAGAAGCTATGCGGCTACAGGCCACATGGCGAAGCACTTAGGAGCATGGGGGTGATGTGATCTGACTTACCTTTTCAAAGGATCACTGCTGTGCAGAGAATCGACTGTAGGGGATATGAATGGAAATAATAAGATCAATTTAAAGACTACTTCAGTAGTCCATGGAAGGGATAACAATCTCCTGGAGTATAGTGATAGCTGGAGAGGTGGTAAAAAAAAAAAAGTTGGGCTTCCGTATATATTTTGAAGGCAGAGCCAAATGAATTTACCGATAGATTGGCTATGGGATGTGAGAAAAAAAGGAGGAGTCAGGATGATACCAAAGTTCAAAGCTGAGGAACACTGGGAAAAGATTCACAAATTTAACTGAAACTTTTGCTACTCTGAAGGAAGTATGATTTTCTTTAGAGGATAACCACAAAATGGTACGACTGGATATTTTTCAAAGAAATCTGATGGATCTTTGGTATATTTACCTGAGGCAACTCTGATTTGGTGGGGAGACCTGTGTAACTAGAGAGCTTATTCCTGCCAGACATAGTGAATGTGCAATACACCAAAAAACTGTACCAAATTTGGATAATCAATTTCTGCTATTCATGCATAGGCTTGCCTTATTTCTAAATGTCAAATCCTATATGCAGAGCTCTTTATAAATGGTTCCTGACACATGGCTGAAAGTATATTTTCAAGGATGGCATTAGCCATTCTATTTACACTGGAAGAGCTGACACCTGGTAAAAAGCAAGCCCTGGTGTGCAGAGTTGGGTGTTTTCTAGCATAAATGCCACTGTTACCTATGACACAGACTAAAAATGAATAATAAGAACCTTATTGGACACAGACCTTGGGGAACTACAGGAATGTTTTTTTTGTGTAGACTGTTTGCATCTCAGAAAAAGAAAAGTCATGAAATATGGAGTAAGATTTAGAGAGCTAGCAAATAGATGGGTTTTCAAGCTTGACCAAATGCCACTTTTCATGCCCCAAACCAAAACCTCCCACTGTATCATGTTTTATATATTGGCCCTGTGTCTTTTAAAAGGTGGAAATGGACCTGAGTTGGGTGCTATCCAGAATACTGTTTTCTAGCTAAAGACCAGAAATACCAGTAACAGAGAAGAACAATCAGCAAGTTAATGAAATGATTCTATTTATACTGTAAACAAACCAGATGTTTGTATAATCAAGGGGATGTGTGTGTCATGTGATTAGTGGCTATCAGACTATTAATAGATAAAACTGCCTAAGAATTTCACAAGTTTGGTCACCCCACAGCAGGAGCTACAGTTCAGTCAAGACTTTCTTATGCTTTTGATGATAAAATCATAAATGGGATCTAAAAACAAATAACTATTAGAAAAGAAGTACAAACAGAGAATTCACGAATTTACCAACTGTTCTAGCTGGTACTGCATTTTAGTCACCAAACCTCTAAACTAAATTATTATTATTATTTTTTTTT